AACACGCCCAGCATTTCCATCCGTGTGGGGGATCAAAGCACGAACACTCAGTGTGTGAAGCGAGATCGTTGCCAACCATGCTACTCACCCTAGCTGCGAGCGATCCACAGCGTCTACAACAGAGCCATTTTCCTATAGTAGGAAGAACAAGAAATGAAGAACCTGGGTAACGTTCACAGTTCTGAGTTCTGTAGGAAATCTGGAAAACTACTCCAGGTTAAATCCTCATAAAGTAATCTGGCTCCGACGGTGGCAGAGATCAACGCGATGGTCCTGACAAGAAAATGCTGTTAGGCAGGACTTCCCGGCTAAGATGATATTAAGTTGACTCTATCCTGAGATGACCCGGAAGCTAAGGTACTTCTTTCCTCCCATGTTTTTGAAGCTCTCGCTGCCACTACTTAAAAAGTCTAAAACCCATTCTCACTCTCCCCAACAATGGTTCCCAAGTCTTCCTTACGTGTATTCAAAACCATCCCGAAAGATGGTAATTCCCACTTCATAATATCTCCAGTATTACTGGAACGAAGTCTTTCAGTAGCTGAATCCATAGCAGAATGCTTGTCGATATCCTCATCGTCTTGCTGATGTCTGCAAGCCATGACCCACAGATTTCATTATTTAAGGTATGAAAACTGTTCTGTGTGATGCATTATGACAGGCAGACAAAAAAAAAAGCTTTTACTGACTTACGATATCGTAAAAATACGGTTGGAAACAGCTCACTGGTTTGTTAGGACCCAAGGACCACAATGGAATCACAAGGTCCCCAGTGGAATCACAAGGACCACAATGGAATCACAAGGACCCCAGTGGAATCACGAGGACCCCAGTGGAATCACAAGGACCCCAGTGGAATCACAAGGACCACAATGGAATCACAAGGACCCCAGTGGAATCACAAGGACCCCAGTGGAATCACAAGGACCCCAGTGGAATCACAACGACCCCAATGGAAATAAGTCACTTTGTCTGACTTTTTTTGGGGGTTATCCCAGGTAATCTACACACATGCTGCTATGTGTAATAATTTATGTAACTGTATTTATGTGTGTCTGTACCTGAATAAACTTACATACCTAATTAGGACTGGTTTCCCATGCGATCGGACCTTCCGTTCGGTGAGTTATAACTAGCTTTTGTTATTAGCTTGTCAGTTTGGCATATACAAAGACAATGAACAAACGATGATCACTCTCTTGAACACTGTGTGCATGGATATCAACCTATAGAGAAATGTAGAGACAAAATATTCCTGCTTGCCCTTTTCGGGCCTAGTTTCGAGACCTTTTGTGTATCTACATGCTCTTGCGCTGCCGTCCAAAGGATAGATATGAGATGCACAATAAACTCGCCGCCTCAGCGGCAAAATCTTAACTGTCATATCAAACATGGTAGCCACACACACACAGCGGGTTCACCATATTTTGTTTTAAAATCAGTTCTTGCCTTTCTTCCCTGCAGTATCACTCATTAGGAATAATGAAAGAGAATGAAACAATGAATAACAAATGCCGCAAGCTTACAATTAGAATATTAAGTAAAGTAATACAAATGTGTATAATATGAGCGCCTGTGAGCACATTCAGGGATGAGCTTGGAATGTAAACACAGACTGACGGAGGTTGTCATAACCCATCTTAGGCTTGGATACAAATATTTCTATCGGCTTAGTGTATATAGTACGTGTGTGTGTGTGTGTGTGTGTGTGTGTGTGTGTGTGTGTGTGTGTGTGTGTGTGTGTGTGTGTGTGTGTGTGTGTGTGTGTGTGTGTGTGTGTTTGTGTGTGTGTACACAGCCCTAAAGCCAATTTCTTGACTATCCGCTAATAGTCATTGTGTTTGTTTCTACCCGACCATTCCAATCTTCCTAGCACTGGTTCCCCTATCCATCCACCCCTCTTCCGTTCCAATTGACACTGGAACCGAGTGGAATGTTATTGATCTGGGGATGGCATCGGGAATCGGTGCCAGTTTACAGACAACTGGGAGTGGGAATGTGTTTGTCTCCTGTGAGAGACTGTGATCCCGAGCCTGGTCTCCCGTCCAGCCTGGAACATGCATTATGTCCGTTTATCTATGACGATGTAGAGGCTGTCGGACTTCTCTCTCTCTCTCTGTCTCTCTCTCTCTCTCTCTCTCTCTCTCTCTCTCTCTCTCTCTCTCTCTCTCTCCTCACATACGCTCAGCCTCACGTGGGGAAGGGTGACCTTGCTTGCTCATGCCTGACCTCATGATAAAGTCACGTGACAAGCCAGTCTGACGACGACGCCTGCATGGAAAGGTCACAGCCTCGCAGCCTCGCAGCCTCGCAGCCTCGCAGCCTCGCAGCCTCACAGCCTCGCAGCCTCGCAGCCTCGCAGCCTCACAGCCTCGCAACTTCACAGCATCCACAGATCGGAGTCAAATCTTCAAGTAGGCGTTTCTAGCTGTCATGTTATGAGCGTTCTCCAGCTGCTGCCTTACTTGTGAAATAATTCTCATTCCTTGGATCGAACTGG